TGTGTGTGCTGACCAGAGACAGTGTGAGTCTGCTGCCGCTTCGCAGCACTTTGTCCACATTACTCATCTGGATGTCGTCCCAGGAAATCCTCCACAGCTGAGCCACCAGCTCCTTCTCCAGCTTCATCCTCCTGCACACACACACACACACACACACACACACACACACACACACACACACACACACACACACACACACACACACACACACACACACACACACACACACACACACACAGATGAGAGGTTAGTGTGGTGGTCTTCACTTTGGTATCAGCTCATCTCCTGGAGCTCCATGGAGGTTTACAGTTAAAACTCTGACTTTGCTGGACCAGAATCCTCTGAACCCTGATCCAGGAACACCAGCAGACCAGGGACAGAGAATCTGTTAAACCAACTTTAGTAACGACCGCAGGATAGAAATACACAGCGGTCTGAGGAGCCATAAACAAACCTCAACCAACTACAGCGGGGTGCCGCAGCTCAAGGAAGAACATTTATGATCATGTCTTTATCATTTCCTTGAAGTAATAATCACCATATTGATCATTTTACATTCATCTCTGGAGGGGGGTCTAACTCGGGGTTACGGTGGGTTTGACCCTGAATTAATTTTACAGCAGAACATCCCTTCGTACTTCACCATGTCACCTTCATGATTATTACAGACTGAAGCTGAAGGAACCAAAGAGAGAGAGAGACGGGGATCCTACCTGTAGATGAAGACAGCGACAGTGACGGCCATCGTGAAGATGAAGAAGAGGATGATGGACACCATCTGATGGATGGTGATGGTCTCTGTGGAGCAGAAAACCTCTTTAATGTTCCTCTCTGAGAACTTTAGTTTTTTTTTTAATTAAACTTAGAGGACATGAAAACCAGAGTCCATTTCCCCTCCTGCGTTTAGGCGGCAGTCACAGTGACGGACAAATATTCACCAACCAATAAGAACAGGTTTAGGTTCCTCAAACTGAAGAGACAAACAGAACCTGTTTGGACACTTGAGTCCACTCTGCACTCTGACACCGTTCATCTCAGTGATTTAAAGGACCCTGTAAAATAACTCAGAGCGTCTCTGTTTCTGTCCACTGACTTGCGAGGCAGACGGGGTTGTCGTTTTTGAAGCCGCAGACGGGAATGTCAGGAGGACAAACTCCTCCCAGCCAGTGTGGAGATGTTTCCGGGATGGCCGTCAGCTGTTCCTCTGAGCTGTTGTACACCAGAACGATCTGAAAGGAGACAAAAAAGGTTTAATAATCGCACCAATCTGCAGACGCTCGTCCGGAAGAAAGAGTTAAAGACAAATGAGTTCAGAGTAAAAGCTGAAGTTCTGCTGTAATTACTCCGAGAATCTTTTATAGTTTCATCGTTTTTTTATCTCCTCGATGTTTGAAGATATTAAACTCAGAGGAAGAGGGTCATTTTCACTCCGACAGTAATGGGACACCTTAATGGAACGATTTTAACCTCCTCTGCACTTCAGACCGTCAGACTTTGTCTCTGGATCCTTCTCAAACTCTCTGAGGATTAACTCTGACACAGATCTAACCTTCGCACCGAGACTCAGACTGTCAGAAACTATTACAGCGAAGGAGGGCGAGAAGAGCCGCGATCAAACAGAACCAGAGGAGAGGAGGACCACAGAAACCAATTAGAGGTCAAAGAAATCCTCGGACACTCCTGGGTGACGGTTAAACACGATTTGACCTCTCCAGCTTCTCGATTGTTCGCTGAAGACTCTTAAAGGTCCTCACATGTTTCCAGAGAAATCTCACCTTTAACTCGGCGTTCAGAGGAGACGGACGAGGAGGTGATGAAACCCTGAACCTGCTGAACTCTCGTTAAAAACACGGATTTAAACTGAAGAAAACCTCGTTATCATGGCGGCTTCTTCAGCTCTGAAAACTCGGAGCGTGAGCGGTCAGAGGTCCAGCTCGGACCTTTATTACCTGGAAGGCGCTGGTGTTGGTGTCGATCATGTCCCACAGAGCAAAGTCCGTCTCTCTGTCTCCGTTCTCGTCCAGGTGGACCAACCCTGTCACACCTGAGGACCAAAACAAACACAGACAAAAACCGTCAGTCTGTGACGGACAGAGATCAGAACCGGACCAGAACCCTGTGTTCACATCCGTCCAGGGTGGAGGTGTGGCGGCATCATGAGGAGCAAGTCTCTCCAAACATGCCTCCACCCAGAACCACCTCAGAGATCCTCGTCGTTTCTGTATCTGTAAGAGTCCAGGGAGTCTGAACCAGAACCAAGGTCCGATCAGCTGTCACAGTCAGAACCTCTGATCCGCTTGGTTCTGACTCTGCAGCTGAATGATTCAAACCCAAAGTTCACAGATTCACGTTTGCAGTTTTCAGAAAATAAAAAATAAATAAAATTAAAACTTAAAGAAAAAAAATTAAATATTAATCAAATTTATTTAAATATTAATAAAACATAAATGATATAAACTAAACATAAATATAAATAAAATATGAAAATAAATACAAATTAAATATAAATTAAAAAAATAAATAAAATTAAAACTTAGAGAAACAAAATTAAATATGAATCAAATTTAAATATAAATATAAAGAAAATATATGAGATAATATAAATAAAACATAAATTATATAAACTTAACATAAATATAAATAAAATATGAAAATAAATATAAATTAATAAAAAATAAATAAAATTTAAATATAAATAAAAAATAAATAAAAAATAAATATAAATATGATTCAGGAAGTCCAGTTCAACTTGAGAGGTTTAAGGGAAATATTGGAGTGACCTGGAGTACAGCGCTGTCGTTGTTGTCACATCCCAGATAATCGTAGATGATAATCTTTAGATCACCAGATTATCAGGACTTTCCTGGTTTTACTGGAAGACGTAAAGTCGTCTCAGTTCCTTCGATAATTCAGTCGATTTAAAGTCCCACAGATGTTGTTTTTTTTGGTCTGTCTGACCTTTGACCTTCTGCTGTCGGGCGTCGCTTCATCTCGACAGCGTTCGTGTTTCTCGTGTTACAGAGATACTCCGACACGTACCCGCTGAGACCGCTTCACTCTAAAGTGACGTGAGGAGGGACGAGTATTTTCAGCTGGAGCAGGAGATGCAGGCGTGACCTCAGACACCTGACGAGAGAATCTGATACCACCTGAGTAAGGAAGAGAGGCGTTACCATGGAAACAGAGGAACACGCCGGCGAGATTCATCAAACTCTAAGAAGTCTATAAGATGATTGAAGTTTTTATGTGAAAATATGACGAGTTTGTTCTTCTCTGTTTCTGCTCCCGCTCTGCAGAAAGAGTCCTACGTTAAAAAAGGATCTGGGTCATTTAGTCATCGGTCCAGATAGAACCAGGATCCAGACTGGCTCTGTAGTAGAAGAGTCCTCTCCCCGGTCTTTGTCCCTGGTCTCCTCTCAGTTTGGGAACAATGTGGTTTTTGTCCCGGTCGTAGGACTACGGATCAGCTCTTCACTCTCGCTCGGGTTCTTGAGGGGAGTTGGGAGTTTGCCCAACCAGTCCACATGTGGACTTGGAGAAGGTCTACGACCGGCCTGGGAGCCCCTGGGAATCCCCCCGGAGGAGCTGGTGGAAGTGGCCGGTGTTAGGGACTGGACTCCCCGCGACCCGGACCCAGAGAGTTGAAAGAAAACGACGACAGCGACTCTAAGTTTGTTTCACTTTCCTTCAAATTGATCCTCAGGGTCTAAAAAAGTCTGAATTACAAACTCAGTCCAGAGAATTTAACCCTTTAAATCCTGAAACTACAAATTAAAGACAGAAAATTCACTGAAATGTTGATTTTATTTACTACTGAAAACCAAAAAAATCTAAATGTCTTTAAATTAAACAAATATATTTATTGATCTTGTTTGGATGTTTTTTTTGGAAACTGATAAACTACAAGAGGACATTTTTGTCACTTACTGGACTGTATTCAGGTGTTTTCTTGTAATTTATTGATCATATTGATTTGATATTGGAATCATAAAAGTATGTATCAAATATTTAAAGGGCCTCGTGAATAAAGCAGGAGTGTGAGGGTGTCGGGTTCGACTTCATGTCTCTGATTTAAGAGTGGGAAAATGAAAAAGGTCACTGATGAGGTCAATTATGAACGGCAGCATAAGTCGTTCACTTGAAAAGAGACGAGAGTGGGGACTCATCTCCATGGAAACAAGACTATTATGGGCTGGGAGAGAGGAGGCTGTGACTGGTCAGAGGTCACATCTGAAGGATGAAACGATGATCGTGGTTGTTGTTGGTTTGAGTATTCGTACACAGACAGAAGGTATGATGGGAAATTAAACAGCTGGTTTTGTTCAGGTGACATGAAGAATAATGATGTCAGAGGGCGAGGGCGGGGTCACAGGGTCAAGTAAAGAGGCGGTGGTCGGTGACCGGGTGACTTTTTGTTGGGCGATGACATTTAGAGACGAGCTGGTTGGACGGGGGTGAGCGCCTGCTGCTGAAATGTCAGAGCGCTGACAGCGGCTTATTGAAGTCATAAACACACACACACACACACACACACACACACACACACTAACAGCGTCACTGACCTGTGTGAGTTTTCTTACGCTGCTCTCCTGAATTTTCGTCTTTGTTCGCTGCTGTGTTGTTTCCGCCGACAGACGGCGACACACAGAGAGGTGAGTTTTTCAGGGCAGGGGAGTGATTCTTCCTTCAGGACTTGGCGAATGAACGACACGAGTCACCCACTTAACGACGCTGTGACTTCAGCAGGAGGGAGGGGAGGGGCTAATGAACGAACTCGCCTCTGGTTAACTGACTGGTTTTACTGCAGCGACAGGGCGGGGCTCCGAAACACTGAATAATTCAGTCGAATCTTTTGAACGAATCGTTTTAATGAACAGATTCTAAAGATTCAGTCAAAAGAACTGATCTTCCATCACTAGACTGTCGCTCAGACTGGAATTCAGTGTTTCTTAAAGAGCGAAGAACGATAACGAACTTTTCCTCTGTGCTCAGTGACACGTCTCAGTTTTCTTTAAATACCGTTTCTGCGTTTTCAGGTTCCTTCTGTCTTTCCTCAGATAATTGAGCAGATGTAGAGCGGCGCTGAATTTCAGGAACACTCCACACTGAACAAACCCTGCAGCTGTGAAAAGTGAGCGGAGGAACCGTGACGGCGGCACAGTAAACGCTTCGTCTAATTACAGCTCATCAGCGAGAGAAAAGCCTGAAGGGTTTCAGGTGAACCGACTCAGTCTGACAGCTGCTGCAGGGAACATCGCTCAGTTCACGCCGAGAGAGAGAGAGAGAGAGAGAGAGAGAGGGGTTTCTCTGCAGGTCGGTATCAAACGCTCAACTCTGCGAAAAACGAACAACAATTACAGGAGAAATCTGCTGGTTTTTAAACTCTGATTCAGCCAATCAGAGCCTGAGGCGTTAAAAAAATCACATCAGGGATAAATGTGGTTTGGACAAAGATGACCTCTATAGATATCTTTAGGGGAGAAGCTACTTTAGCCAGAATTTTGGGGGGTCTTGGATGGGGGTGGGTCGGGATTCCTGCAGGAATTTCTATCACTACTTAGGTCCCAAAAAAGAAAATATCTAAACTATATAAAGGTTTTCAACAATCCAAGCAAGAGACCTCCGATTACACAAAAGGTAAAACAGGAAACAAGGAAATGAATCCATCTCAGAGGAGAGTTGGGAAAAATCAGTTTGAGTGAAATTCAACAGGGTCAAACATCTGTGAGAGTTCTGCTGGAGGAACTTCACACGTTTCTTTTTAACCAGAGAAGATATCAGGAAGTGGTGATGTTTGCTGGAGGCTCTGTGGGACCAAGGAATCATTTTCATTCTGGGACGGACAGATGATTAAAAAATACTGGGAAGAGATTCATGAACATATGAAGAATCTGTACAATATGAGAGCTGGAATTTCAACGACAGGAAACGTCATCGATGGTTTCAGGCAGACGAACACTGAGGACTGGACGGATGTCACACATGAGAGTGTGGTCTAAATGGACGGAGTATGTGAGAGCTGTAAGATCAGATTTTCTCTGAATTTGTGACGAACTCTTTATGTTGAAAACTAAGAAACCTTTAACAGCTGATGATGTCCGTGTGGGCTCCCTGTTCGCTTCTGTTTAGGTGACGAGTGTTAAAATGATGAGAGACACAGACATGAAACACTGGAGAGGCACCGTGAATGAAGACACCGAGACTTTCTCAGAGAGGAGGGAATCCTCGTGATGTGACGTGAATACTTCACATTACTGAATGTGTACTGAATCTATCGTTAACTTTAATCTATCTTTAATCTCTTTAACAGTCACAGGAGACGTTTTGTGAATGTAAGGAATCAAAGTTCCTCCTAAATTAAAAGTGAATTAAAAAAATCACATCTGATAATCAGAGCCTGATTTATTTTAATTCATAAATTTGACTCTTTTTCTTGGATTTTTAACTTTTCATGGCGTCAGTTTGAGGTTTTTCACATCATAAAAAACTTTTTTAAGTAAATTTAATATTTTTGGACCCTGACATAGTTTTCACAATAATTCACAGCTGAGGTTTCTGAGGTTTTGACCAATCAGAATCAAGTGTTTAAACGATGGGCCTGTGTGTTATTGTCGTGTTTGATGAATGTAGAGCAGGTCGTGTTCCTCGTACCCGGAGCAGCCTCTCTTTATGTCTCTGCTGACGTCAAGTTTCTCGACCATAACTCAGACACTCTAAATCTAAAGAGAGTCTATTTTGAGCCTGTTGAACATGTGATGAGTGTTCAGAGTCAGAGCAGACGTGGACCTGACCGACACCACAATAGATCTGATGTAACGCCGCCATCAGGCCCGCTGAGAGGACGCCGCGCCTCCATTAGTTAATGGAGCGGAAACGGCAGAGCGGCAGCTGTAATCTGATCTCGCTCCTGCTCCTGGTCGGGGTTTTTACAGTCCGCCTGCACCCCCACACACTCACTCCCTCTCCTCTTCGTCATGGATATTATCTCTCATCAATCTTATTACACCGCCTACATATCTCCCCCGCTCATTCACGCCGTTTCCCTCTCTGTCACTGACATCAGATCTCATATCGCTCATTTTTTAGACCAGTGAGTGAAAAATAAATAAAGGAGAAAAGGAAATTAAAAATTAGGAGCAGAAGAAAACAGAGGACGAGTGATGACCAAACTCTGATTTAAGACTCAAACTAATAAAATCCTGATTTCAGACTTTTCTGTTTTCTGACCTTTAATTCTGTTCAGCTCTGATATTAAAAACACAGAGAGACACAATTAGAAAATAAGGAGATCAAGTCAAAGTTAGAAAATATGGAGCAAATAAAAGTTTGAGATTTTCACTCTTTATTGTTCCATTTAATCCTGTTTTATCAGCGATATCAAAAACTTTTCGTCACAATAATTTCACTTTTTTTATGTCATGAATTCTCTTTTATTCACATTATTTTGACTTTTTACCACAATTTTTAAACTTTAAATCACATACAGGATATAAGGTGAAATACTATCATGTAACTTTGACTTTGAGGGTTAAGACATTTTACACCGTTTTTTAAACACGTCGCTCTTTTACTTTGTTTTTAAACTTTTGATGATGAGACTTTCTTACATTTTTCACTTTTTATTTCGTGGTTTTGACTTTCGTCTCATATTTCTACCTTTTATAATCCTAACATGTAAGCCTTTTATCACATAACTTTTCAAACTTTTATTTTTATATAAAATATTTAAAGAATTTTTTACATTTTAATAAATTTGACATTAGTTTGAAATGTTCCTGTTTCTTCGGTCACTCTCGTTATAATAAACCATGATCATTTCCTCCTTATTGATTTTTTCTATCTTTACTTTTTAAACTCAGTTTACTCAGTTATTACTCTGCACTAGTTTTAACTCGATATCCTTAAATTTTAACAAAGGTTTTCACTTTTTGTTCTTCCATATTTTGACTTTTTACCTGATTTTTATCTTCAATTTAAAACGATTGACTTTCCGTTTAACTCTCTGTTTAAATCCATTAAAAGACTTTTTTAAAAATAACTTTTTAAAGATTTTATGATTTTATAACTCTCCACACTCTGATTTCAGGTGGACGTTTCTGTCGTCTCTTCAATTTTTGTGAGTCCAGATTAATTAAAACAGCAGAGCTCTTGTTGTCGTTGTTGTCGTTGTTGTTGTTGTTGTTGTCGTTGTTGTTGTCGTCGTTGTTGTCGTTGTTGTTGTTGTCGTTGTTGTTGTCGTCGTTGTTGTCGTTGTTGTTGTTGTTGTTGTCGTTGTTGTTGTTGTCGTCGTTGTTGTTGTCGTTGTTGTTGTTGTTGTTGTTGTTGTTGTTGTTGTCGTTGTTGTTGTTGTTGTCGTTGTTGTTGTTGTCGTTGTTGTTGTCGTTGTTGTGTGTCGTTGTTGTTGTTGTTGTCGTTGTTGTTGTTGTCGTTGTTGTTGTCGTCGTCGTTGTTGTTGTCGTCGTCGTTGTTGTTGTTGTCGTTGTTGTTGTCGTCGTTGTTGTTGTCGTCGTCGTTGTCGTTGTTGTTGTTGTCGTTGTTGTCGTCGTTGTCGTTGTTGTTGTTGTTGTTGTCGTTGTTGTTGTTGTCGTTGTTGTCGTTGTCGTCGTTGTTGTTGTTGTCGTTGTCGTTGTTGTCGTTGTTGTTGTTGTTGTTGTCGTTGTTGTTGTCGTTGTTGTTGTCGTCGTTGTTGTTGTTGTCGTTGTTACTGTTGTTGTTGTTGTTGTTGTTGTCGTTGTTGTCGTTGTTGTCGTTGTTGTCGTCGTTGTCGTCGTTGTCGTCGTCTTTGGTCCGATCGTACGTCTCCCTCTTCTTCTCTGGATGTTTTAAAGGTCTGATTTTGACGGCTGTTTGTTTCTTTACAGAACCCGTTGATCTCTGCTGCCTCCGTTTAACGAGATTATCTTCCTCGGCTTTTAGGAGCCTGTTTTCGTCCTGGATCACAGACCTGTTGCTTGGTAACCGGACCACCTTGTCCCCACAGTTTTTCCCACTCGCTGTTTATAAATCACAGATTAGGAAGGCTGACAAATCTCGTTAGAACCCGTGTGCTCTTTTATCACACGCTGTCAGGTCGGACTGGGCTCCAGAGCGGCAGGTAAACAGACACGTGTGTGTGTGTGTGTGTGTGTGTGTGTGTGTGTGTGTGAGAGAGAGATAGAAGCAGCGGTGGGTGGGTAATCTACGGCAGCCAGGAGGGGACACAGCGTCCAGTAGATCAATGAGAGAGCTGCTGTCTGCTCCTCTCCAGGTGTTCGTGTCTGCGGAGACGAGATTGAGGAGAGAGGAGGAGGAGGAGAGAAGAGGAGGAGAGGAGAGGAGAGGAGAGGAGAGGAGAGAGGAGGAGGAGAGGAGAGAGCAGGAGAGAGGAGAGGAGAGGAGAGGAGAGAGGAGGAGGAGAGGAGAGAGCAGGAGAGAGGAGAGGAGAGGAGAGGAGAGGAGAGAGGAGGAGGAGAGAGAGACATGTCTGAAGTGATGCTAACAAAGACGTCTGAAAGGACAGGAAGTAATGGACGTCCTCGGAGCAGAGAGGAGGGGCAGACCGACAGACAGAGAAGGAGAAACGGGGCAGGAGGACACAGGAGGAGGATCTGCTTTCACACGATTAGATTTCAGGCTATTTCTGGGGGCCTCGTCCGCTGTTGTCCAGCTGCTGACAAAGAGAGATCAGGTCTCAGTCGATAACGGGGGGACAAAGAGACGAGGAGGAGGAGGAGGAGGAGGAGGTCTGTGTGAGAGAGAGACAGGAACACGGAAAAGAAGAGAGGAAGAAACCCGACAGGAGAGGAGAAAGAGGAGAAGAGAGAGGAGGAGAGAGAGAGGAGGAGAGAGAGAGGAGGAGAGAGGAGGAGAGAGAGAGGAGGAGAGGAGGAGAGAGAGGAGAAGAGAGAGGAGGAGAGGAGGAGAGAGAGGAGGAGAGGAGGAGGAGAGAGGAGGAGAGAGAGAGGAGGAGAGAGAGAGGAGGAGAGGAGGAGAGAGAGGAGAAGAGAGAGAGAGGAGAAGA